CAAAATAAAAGAAATTGGTTTATTTCGATTTTCTTAATGAATCCTTCACTTTGACCCATATTTCATGAGCAACCAACTCGGGAACGGCGGCAGAATGCATCACCTATTTTCGTGTACAATGTTTTATCTATAAATAAGTCTAGAAAAACACGTTGTATGGATACCGGGTGATATAATTAACTTCTCTTAGTATTTATCTTTAATATCAATTCATTATAACTAGTGACAATTCCTTCAAAGAACCACGATTTAAAAAAAAAATAGTGACTGACAAAATAAGATACGTAGCGTGATTTATTGCTAAAAGTCACTGAAACAACATAAGAATATGGTCCACTTTGTGTTCCATAGAAATTTTCTGCTGACACGGAATCCGCTAGTTGATCACGTGACTTCATTCGTTGGACTACATTCTAGCAGACGACACTTGGAATTCCGATTACGGCTAGGGATTATAAGGAAATTCGGCCGATAAAAAATGGTGACGTTTGGTAATAACTGAAATCCGCCATTTTGTATTTGTCAAAGTATACATTAATACATTTTACCTTGCTTGAAACTACTGGATTCATTCTACTATCTGATATTGTAGAGAAAACCCATGTTTATCAAAACAAACTAATGCGGAGGTCGCGCAAGGTCGCTCATGTAAATTATTAATCCTTTCCGGAAATCCACGAATAATAGGTTTCCACGAAATTAGGTTACTTGACTGTAATTATCAACTGAAGCATTTATACACTATTACAACAAATATGGACATATTAAACATTTAATATAACTTGAAATTGATAGCATTTTTAGACTAGATAAGCAAATAAATTCAATGCTACAGCAAGCTACTACTAAAATTATGTACAAATAAGTAAATATAAAATTAACATGTTAATTAAAACTAAATTGGTTTTAAATTTCGTAGGTGCTAGAATGCCCAGTTCATGATACAGGTATGTGAGGTTATTATCTAACATGAACAACATAAATATTTTTAAAAATAAGCCTTAATCTAGAATATATTATAAAAATTTTGGTGATACATAAATAAATTAGATTGTACTCATCATTAACATTCCTTTTCAAAATAAACATAATCTATTGGTATACTTCTGGCTTTAATGGTGTTTTGTCAATCAAGACAGTAAATCAACTTTAAAAATCTTTCAAAATTAACATTCAAGGTAGTGACAACTATTAACATAAACAATCAAAATAGTACTTTACATTAACAATCAAGATGGTACCTTAAAATAACAATAAAGTAAGTGATTACAATCGGTAAACATAAGTAGTGCCTTACATTAACAAACATATTTTTTTCAAAAAAAATGAAATCAAAGAATTATAGTAAACTAATTATTTGAACTACATATGTGACTATTAAAACTGAAATAATATGTTCATAAAAATAAGGTTAAAACAGTGGTGTATTTAGCCAATTAATTCATACTACATGAGGTGGATTCTCAGCCCACTGTCACTAATGCCTTTAAATCCGCAGAGGGGAGCCAAGGCACTCAGATGGTACGTTGATGAAATCGTTGCTTACACCACAAGATAAAAAGGAGACTTTAAACTTATATACCGGTACCTCTATAAATTGCATGTCTATATTATCTACAAATAAGTATTAAAACACACATCTCCTCTGAAACTAGATCTGTTCTTCACAATAACAACTTACAATCTGTAATAGAAATCAGACTACAATAAATGTTCATCCTCCATTAAAAAAGGTAATTAATTGTTGCATCAATCTAAAGTAAAATATACATTTCTAACGCATATACCCATGTAGTCGAAGTACTTTTGTTGGTGAATCCAATTTCACCTATCTTTGAGCATTCAACTATCCAAGTGACTATTAATCAGAGGTCAGGTTCTGTCAAAAAGTGTATATCTATAACACAATGTCTAACAGTAATGACAATGAGCCAAAAATTACTTAAGCTCATATTTGTTGATACATGCGATATGAATGATACCATCTTACTTACAAATTTCTGCATTACTTGTATTTTTTCATGAAATTAACATGGAACTCTTTGAAATCTTTCAGAACTGACTTCAATGTATCAATAGGTGGTAGAATTGTTGTTCTGAAATGAAATGTTCCATCTCTCTGTCTGAATCCACTTCCGGGAACTGTACAAATTCCAGTTTCTTCTAACAACTGGAAACAATAAAAGGCATCTGGAGACTTGTCATTCTTCTTTGCTTCTTCAATAGCTTTGTCTGGTAGAAATATTCTTGGAAAAGCATACATAGCCCCTTGCACTTGGTTACATTTAATGCCTTCAATAGAGTTAAATGTGTCAGTTACTAATGTAGCTTTTTCTGCTAGTGATTTCAAAACTTCATCTTTCTCCTTCTTAAACAGATCATAAGATAAATCACCAGGTTTGGGTGGATTGACAACACAATCAATGACAACTTGACCTGATGATGGAGGACATAGGTTAGCTGATATACTTTTATTGTACTGAGCTCGAACTTCAGGATCCAGGTTAATAACCTCAGTATAGCCTCCTCTGTAACCGCACTCACCCATAAAACCCTTTGATGCCGACATAAATGATGCCAGCTCCATACTACTGTACTCTCCACCCATTTCTGTTAACACTTTCTTGAAGGAGAAAAACTCTGACTCCTTTGCATAGATATTATGTTGATAAACTTCATCAGCAAGTATGAAGAGCTTTTCTTCTTTGGCAAACTTTATAATGCTTTCTATGTTGTTTCTTGTAAGAACTTGACCTGTGGGATTCCCTGGATTAATAACACAAATAGCTCTTGGTATACAATGAGGTCTGGCTTCAACAAGTGCTCTTTTCAACTCTTTTGGGTCCAAAGCCCAGTGGTTATCCTCATCTAAATAGTAAGGTATAGGATAAGCATCATATTCAGATAATGAAGCTGAATAGAGTGGATACTGAGGAATGGGTATCATTACTCCTGCTTTCTCATTTCCCCCTTTATTAGTGAGCAATAATGTTAAAATAGATTTAATTCCTGCACTAGCCCCAGTACATAAATAGATGTTGTCAGGTGAAGCTGGATTGCCATCTCTCTGTGAAATGTAATCAGCAATGTCTTCTTTTATGATGGAAATACCAGGACTGTCAGTGTATGATCCTAGACTCTGTCCACGGCAACCCTTTAAAAGTCTCCTAGCTCTTTCTTTAGCATCTGCAGGAAAATAGTCTATATTGAGCAAATCTGGATAGGTCATCATAGCCAAGACCTGTCGAATAAAGGTTATTGGCTTTTGTCCAGTAGCGTGACAGTCACCAATGTTAGCTTTGACAACCTTTGAAAAAGGTTTGGATGCATTGTCCTTTTCTAACTCTTTCTCAAGTTCTCCTGCTCTGGCTACAATTGGTCCCCTAACAGCATACTGCATTTGGACAACATTGGGGTTCAATGTCTCCATTGTTAAAACTTTACCACTATTTTGTCCATTCATCTTTGGCGATTCTGAAATTCCTTCGGTATTCCGAAAAGATTTAAATCAATAAAGAATAATACGTCCCGTCCCTTCTGGTAAATGCGTACATGAGAGGTAACAGGTAATCTGAAGGTTGAAACATGAAAGTTGCATAAGAAACTATGTCAACCAGTCAAGTCACGCCCACATGTTGAATACCAGACAATCGTGACTAAAACCATAGAACAGTACCGGTATATACAGTTCTATGCTAGAACAAACATACATGACAATCGTGTCTAAATAAAATGGTGTCCCGCATAATTATTTATCTCAATGTTTAAACTTTCATGAAACAACATTTTTCCTAATGACATCTTACTTATCATATAAAATATAAAAATATATTGATTGCAATCATTCGAGTGTAATAAAAAAAGATTCGATATTTAAATTTTCGTTTTATTTATATTTTCGTGTTTGGATTTGTACTAGATGTGATAACAGACCACAAACTATCCATCATTTATCTTCAGACTACAGCTAATTTTACACTTCATTCGATAATATTTCTCAGAACAGTCACTCAGTTACCGGTAGCAAAACAATTAGGCTTAGCATACTCACTCTGAAAAATTATATCAATGATGAGATTAAATGACTCTATGGATCAAAATTAAAGTAGACGGGAGAGGACGAATACCGTGTATGCTACATTCTTTCAGTAGGCTTACGAAACAGTAGTTAAAAGGTATCCTTTTTATACCTTTAAAGTTATGAAAACCATAACCTTAAAGATACCAGCCTGGAAAACCCAATTTTTCTCAATAATATTATCTTACAATTATGTATATATCTGTATGCCTTGTTTTACCTGTTGTAGGCTACATAATATTTTACATTTCAAATAGCCAACGTAATAGCTTTATTTAAAAAAAAGTTTTTAGAAAATGTAAATATTGCCTGTACTGTCAGTGCATTTTATTTTTGCGAATTATTGTATTTCTTTTTGTATTTGTATATTATTATGCTATGTAAATATATTGCTATGTTAATAAACATTCTCTAAAAAAAGAAAGTAGTAGGCCTAAGGCCTAAATCACTACAGCACTAGGCCTACCCAAAGCCATCATATCCATAGGGCTTTGTGCCTACCTAGCTCGCACATTGTCCATTTGTCGGTAAATATTATAAGCACAGAATGTATTTGCAAAATACGACAAAATCGCCTTCGACTTCGGGACTTTTTTTGGTTGAAATTCCTCGGAGAAAAGTGTGTTTCTATTCAGATTCTAGGTGATAGACGTACTACTAGGCCTACTGGCTACTGTTTAACTTATTTCAATTTGATTTTAAAAAATCGGCAATTTAAGTAAACCCTACTAGCCATACTAACTGCTAAGTCTGGGTGTCCTACCATTAGTCAGTGTCTGTAGACTGTAATACTAGTCTATAATTTAATAGCTATAACGCTTCTTGTTTTGGATTTTCCGAATTAAACTCTTAAAATATTAGATAGACTCATTATAGGCATAATACATAATTATAAAATACTCGCGATTGTTCAATGACC